GGCTTATTTCAAACTGGTAAATATCTAATTCCTTTAACTGCTGCGCCGTGCACACGAGTCTTTTAGGTACAAACGCCTTGAAACAGCCGGTGCGTGGCGGTGCGTGCCCCGAGGTGAACACAATCCCGCGCGCCCTCGCAGCGGGGGATCCCACTCGCTCTCTACCAGCCTGAGGTCCCGAGGCTGGGGCCGCGCCAGAACCTCAATCCCAGAGCCCAGTCCTTTCCTTTGAGCGCCCCGGGACCCTCTCCTGGCTCTCCATGGAACCCACGGCACCCCCCACACACCCCGCGCAGGCCTCCGACGGCTTGCCCCGCTTTCCGGGGCGGATAATTACGCCTCGCTCGCCTGTTTTTCCTTGTTTAAAGTTTGTTTTCTAAATGTCTTCTATTAGATTATGCTCGTTCATTCTCCCTCCAACCTTATCTCCTTCTGTCTCTTCTGTCCTGGCCCGTCACACTCGATTTAGGCACGAGTTTATCTGGCAAACAGTTTGCCGACTTTGTTTATTTACCGCGGGTTCTGGGGCTGCGCGCGCGCGAGCGCCAGTGTCTGCCTTTGTAATAGTTATCTCCTTATTGTCGTTCTTTCTTAGTCTCCGCTCCCCCTCCTCTTCTCCTCTCGGGTTGGGAGGATGGCGGGAAAAGGGGGGAGTCTTGTCAGCCCAGTGTGCGCTCGCCCCCTCGCCGGGAGCCCCCTCCTCTGGGATCTTCCCAGCTCCACACCCCCTCCGCCCGTCCCATCCCCCACCAGAGGCCCGCGAAGCCTCTCGGGCCCCCTCCCTCTCTCCCTCTAGTCTCTCTGAATATCCACCGCCGAGCGCTGCCTAAAGCCAGGGAATTGCCTGACACCCTCCCATCTTCCTCCGAGCCCCCATTATGCGAAGCTGAGCCCACTCTGAACAGCCTCAAATCCCGCCTGGACTCTGTTTGATTGGATTGCCAACCCGGGGTAATCCTTTGATTTGGTGGAGTGTCAATTACCTTTCTCTAAACACACATTTACAGACGAGGGAACTTGTTGGTTTAAATCAATGCAGATTGTTTTTTGATAAATGGACCATCTTTATCCCCCTCCCTCATCCACTTTTCCAAGCCCCCCCCCGCCCCTCCCTTTCCCCTGTTCTCACCTATCGGATAAACAATGTCCCTTCCAGGTGTGAAGGGGGGAACAGTGTGGGCAGAGGGGAGCCTTGCCCCCCTTCCCCTATTCATTCGCTCCCCCGGAGCCTAATTAAATTTGGCAGGTCCTTGTACACACAATCAAAACAGCTTCCTCCGGTGTAGCAAACGACCGAAAACCGCATTAGCAGCCATCGCCGCTGCCAAATTAAATTGTTTCCCACCTCCTTTTACAAGTGTCTAAAACCGACACTTCGTGCTCTCCCTCCTTTCCGATCCTTCCCGGTCATTTCCCACTCCACACCTGTAAGTTTACTGCCTTAAAAAGAAATTTAGTAAAAATGCAAAGAAAAACAAACCTAGGCTAGGAGTGTAGCTCTGTGGTTGAAGTGCTTGCCTACCACGTGTGAGGCTCTAGGTTCGAGTCCCTAAACGGCAAAAAATAAATAACTAAATCTGCCTCATGCTCCCCCCCCAGCCAATGATCTTTTGGACCCAGAAAATCTGCAAATTCTGCTGCACTCTGACCCATAGGTTTTCCTGGAACAGGGGACAATAGCTCCTCCTCCCCCTTCTCCTCTTATAACTTTTTTCAGTATTTCCCATTAATTGCAACCCCACTGAGCTTTCTACCCTAGCTACCAACCCCACCTCTGACATGGTCAGCTGTGGTTTCAACTGCAGCACAGCTAGATGCCTGCTGTTACTGTTGCCATTCGTATTTACCTTACTGCTTATTTCTTTGCTTTCCTACAGAGGAATGGTTTGACACTTTGCAAAGCCCCTATCAATTTCCTCATAAGAGTCTCTGGGCTCAGATTCGGGGGAAGGGAATTTTCCTTTCTCTTTCCTGTCTCAGATCCTCCTGCTGTTGGCTCCTTGACCCTTCTATCCCCTGATCCTTAGAGAAGGGGATGAAGAGGAGAGACTCCTAAAGGATGGGGACACAGAACTGTCCACTTCCCCTCTTCAGGTGAGCAGAGCTTGGCCGGAGCCCCTATCGGCAGTGGTCTGAGAATTCTCACAACCAACAATCCTAATAACTCAGTCTTAACAAGGATAACAGGGGGGAAAAACCACGAACAGTCTCATGAATATCAGCCCAAGGGGAGCAGGAGTGAGCTGTTGAGAGATGAAAGTGCACAGAAATAAAAGCTCAATTTAATCTGCTTTAAAACCCTTCAACTTAACGTTGTGCTTCAAACTCTGAGAGTGAGGACTGATTGCGGATAAATAGTTTCTTACCATGCCTGGAAGCTATTACACCCCTCTCCAACACAGTTTCCTATTCAGCAGCCCCAGTTTTCATTACCAGCTCTAATAAGTCTTAACATTATTAAATGCCAAGCGGACGATAGGAGAAAACGGACTCAGGGAGGGATCTCTCTTTAGTGCTTAAAGAAGAGAGCTCTTAAACCCCTTCTTTGGCGGCTCCCCGCCACGAGAGGGGCAACCCCTGGAGAAAGCATTTGTCAAGAGCAAGAAGCCAAAACAAAGTTGTGGGTGTGTACCCCTCCCGCTGCTCTGCCCAGGGGGCATGGCTGCCTCTTCTGACCTGCACCACTGGAGTAGAGGTTGCAAGGACTTTCTACCTTTAGCTTAGCCGTGCAACTGATGTCTAGGGGCTGGGAGAAAGAGGAGGGGTTCATCAGGATGCCCAAAGACAGGCCAGCATTCAAATCGGAAACGGCTACAGTTTGTCCACAGATGGATAGACATCTCCTTCTCATCTGCGCCATCCTAGGTCCATTCACGCCCATCTACCACCCCATTGCACACCCACCATAGAATGCCCTCTTAAGACTACAGACTTAAGATCGGCAGCATTTGGATTCAAAGACTCACGGGTGAATAGCCACACTGAGAAATCCAGGACCTCATGATAATGACCTATGACCCCACTATGACTCAAAACCTGAGGGGCTGTCTGAACACCAGGCCCGATGCATGAGGTCATTTCATTCTGTGACTCTCTGCAGACTCAGCACCTGTGTTCCCAGCCTCCCCGCTCTGGAAATGCCTGACTCCTGCCTCAAACCCCTGAAGACTTGGAGCTTCCTGGTCCTCCAGCGGGAAAACCTCTCTCCAGCGAAGTCTCCTGTTTGCTGGGTTTTAAAGCCTAGACCAGCTCTGGAAGCCCCAAATTCCCTTGTGTTAAAGGAATCCCCAAACCACTTGTCTTTCCCATTCCTCTTTCCCCTCTCCTTTCCCTTTCTCAAGGGAAATTTACCTATTTGCACTTTGTCACACCGTGAACTGGACAAATCCAGACACATCCCTACACCTGAAGGCTCTCCAAATAACTCCAAACCTCTTCCACTTCTCCTTGGGATAGTCGTCAGAAGAGGAATCTGGTGTGTAACATTTGTCTGTGAAAGGGCACTCTGTCACTCACACGAAAAAGTCTGACTAGTCTCCGATAGACTCTTAAATAAGGACTGGGTCCCCAGGAAGGGGTCTCTGGGCTCTGGGCGGACTTGCCAAACCTACAGATCCGAGGCCCCACTTGCAGGCTCGACACAGCAGGGTGCCAGGCACAGCTCGCTCCCTTTCTTTCCCAGCCCTTTTGTCCCGGCCGGGACTGCGGCTCCACTAGGGGCCCTGAATGTCAATTGCCCGCCTCTCCCCGTCACCGGACTGCTCTCGCTGGGGGCTAGGCCTAGGCCGGTGGGGGCTGGGCCACCATCTCTGGGAGTTGTCTTTCCAGGAGGGCTTTTGTCTGTGAAGTTCATCTTCAAGGTTGGGAGGAACTACGAAGAACAGGGAGACACCTGGACGCGGAGTGCTGGCGGGCGGGGAGAAGGGAACCTCTGACGAGACTCCACCAAAAGTCTCCCCACTGTTTTCCAAAGTCACGGTTTTTGCAGATTCCCGATTCCCTATGCGGCCGCCTCTCTGTGCGTGTGCTTGGGTCGCTTTTCTCCCGGGTCAAGGCTCTGGGCCTTGCATTTCCACCTCTCCCCAGGATCCCGCTTCAGGCACACTTACCAAGTCTCAAAGAGAACTTCGAGGGGGGCGGGTAAGGAGGAAAGACTTTTCCCTTCCTTCTCTGAAACTTCCGTCAAAAACAAAAGCACAATGCGCTTCCCGGGCGTTCGTGGGGCGCTCGTAAAATAACCGCCTTTCTTAGCAGAGCGGGAGGAGGAAAAGTCGGCGCTGGGAGGAGTCCAGCCCGCGCGGAAGCCTTGCTAAGACTGTGGAGAAGCTATTGGGTCTGGATCTCTCCCTCTCCCATCCTCAGACCCCCAGCATCTGGAAACTTGGCCTCAGACCCCAGTCCCACAGGCGAACGCCAAGAGGAAAGTACCCTTCAGCGTTCCCACTTCGCCCTGGCGACGTGGGGCTGAGTCAGGCGCGGCCCTTGCTAATTTTTATTGATTGCAGAGGTCAGTCAACTGTCAGGCGGGGTTTCAAGGGACCGTTTAGAGAGCGTGTGCGGGTCTGGTTAACAAATTCATTTAGGGAGCCTCGGATCGGCTCCTCCTTCCTCGCCCCCTCCCCGCCCCCATGCCCAAGTTTCCTATAAATAATTGATCGACACCGAGAACTTGAAGCCAAAACACCAGTGGCGAAGGACACACACACCAGGGTAGACCAGACGCGCGTCGGAACTGCATCGCCCAAGACTCGTTACTCCGCAGAACCGCTCCCAATGCACGCAGCTGCCGTCCGCGCCTCCGCCCCGTTGCGCAATGGAGACGCGGGTTCCGCACCCTGCCCTGGTCCGGGGCGCCAAACCCAGAGAACTCCGGGCTGACCGCGGCCTGCGAGTTTTTCTGCTCGAGTTGTGGCGGCTGCGACAGGCGCGAGCCAGAGGCCCGCACTTGGAGCGTGGGAAAACGAGGACTGGAGCATCGTGGGGGCGCGGCAGTTCCCTACCTTTGTCGCCCAGTATGCCGTCGATGCTGTGCTTGGCCTTCTTCTCGCCATCGTCCTCCTTCTTGTCCCCTTCGTCGTCCTCCTCTTTCTTCCCGAACTTGATTCTTAGCACGCGGCTAATCGAACTCACTAAACCTCAGAAATTCAAAGGCAAAAGAGCGAGTATAAGTTGTAGGAGCCAAGGAGCGTGGCTGCCTGGGCACCTGGGAGGAAGTCAACCCCTTACCCCCTACACGCCACTCACCCCCTCTTCTGCGAAGACATTTAATCACTTGCACTTGAGAAAGCTTGCTCACACCTGGGCATTGATGTGGGGTAAGACTGCAGCAGAAGCACTCCACCTTACATACCCTTGCGCTCGCGTGTGCCCTATCACACACCCTAGGTGCACTCACACGCCCACTGCCCCAGGGTCTCCCAGGAGTGAGCACCCTTGGAGTGCCCACACTCAGGTGTGTCGTCCTGGCTCTAAGTGCCTGAATGCACATGTACATCTCAAAGGCAGCATGACTTGGGGCATTGGGATTGGAGACCCACCGAGGGCTGGTGGTAGCAACAAAATAGAAAAGATGGCTTAGAGAAGCTGGTCCAGGGACATCAACCCTCCTAGGGCAGGTCCTTCTCTAGGCCACTTGTCCCAGAAAGCTTCAGGGAGCTCTTCTCATCACCCACATCCATGGAGGGGGGCGTTAACTTTTACCTCTCTTCATTCCTCCCTGCATGCTTTCCTCCTTCCCTTCCTCCTCCCTTGCTCTATTCCTTCTCTCCTCTCTCCTTCCCTAACTTTCTGTCATCTCTCTTTCCACCTTCCTTTCTCTCCTGATTCACTCCTTTGCTCTAACTCTTTGCCTTTTGCTCCCTTTTCTTCCCAACTTTTCTCCAAGGTCCTGTCAACCACCACCTCCCCATCTCTCTCTTCCCCTCATCCCTACACAATGGAGGGAACCTAGTCTGGACCCTCCCCACCCCTCCCAGCGGGCCACTGGCTCAGCTGCCTTCTCACCTGAGGGTACCGTGCTGCGGTCACAGTGGCCATCCTTCAGCAGGCGGTCACGGATCTCCCAGCTGAACATACCCGGGTTCTCCCTCTTGTACTCCTCGATCTTTTTCTCCACGTCCGGGGTCGCCACCTGCTTCAGAGGTGGAGGTGGGAGAGCAGGAGCAGAAAGATGGATGGGGAAGGGAAATACTTTCAATATCAACTTCCCAAGAACCCCAGCCTAGGCTGGTGGCTCTGGTCACAATGTCCCTTTTCCAAGATTGGCTCTATTCTTTCAAGAAATCCATTTCCGTCTCCCAGGATGGCAACAGGGGATAGGGGAAGAGACAGGGAGAGGCATTAATAATGATAACAACCCTAATTAGGACCATCAGAGTCTGCCCTCATTATCTCAGGCAAGACTGAGAGGTTTCCCCTGGCTGGAGTTGCAGAACCAGGTTGGGGCAGATGTGGGGACATTGCAGAGATGGCTCACTGGCTTCAAAGTCTTGGAACCTAGACCTCAGTTACCCATCCCTAAAAAATTTCAAATCACGGGAAAAATAACCTGGGCATATCTGGGAGTGGGGGATGCGCTCCCACTGTACTTTCCACAGGAAGCATCTGGACACCCCAGTGCTACTGGATGACCCAGGGTAGTGAGAGGGGTGGCAGCTAGGGTCCCCTGGACCAGGGAAGGCCTGCAGACAGCCTCCTTGGTAAAGACACTCACTCTGGGCTTGCTGCCGCCAATGGCCCCAGGCCGGATGGACCCGGTCTCCTGGTAGCGGCAGAGAATCTTGGAGACACAGCCATGGGAGACACGCAGCTGGCGGGAGATGACACAGGGCCTGATACCATGGTGGGCCATCTCCACTATCTTGTGGCGGATGTGATTTGGCAGGGGTCGCCCGTTGATGAAGACTCCGCCAAGCTGATTGACCCGGCCTTGGCCAAGTGGAGTGGACACTGGAGAAGGGAGGAGAGATGAGACAGTGGAGAGGGACAGGGTGAGAATGGGGAGGAGACACTGCACCCCCTGATTCTGTGTTGTTTGAGCCCCAAGACCCCTGATAGCAAATCTCCAAGGTCCTCACATTCGGAAGAGCTAGAGGAACTTGGGCAATTCAGAAAAACAACTGTTGTGAGGCCCTAGGAAGGTCTTGCAGGGACGGAGAAAGGGGTCATTATTTCAGGATCCTCCCGTGTCCCCCAGTTCCTGCCACCCTGCAGGGAATAAGGACTAGCCTGGAGGAGATTGAACGACCCCGAGAAGGGGAGGGAGAGAGGCCCAGAAGGGAAGGAATGATGGGCCCACTGTTGCCTAGAGATTTCAGGAGCAGTGGCTCTCTGTCCTCCAGGCTGCAGCGTGGGGCACAAGCCACTAACCAGTGCAACATGGCCATCTGATGAGCTCCACGTCTCTGGCAGTCATGACCGATCCTTTTTATTGGTAGCTAGAAAAGGCTGCCCGGCTCCCCTATTTACAGCTATGGCTTGAGCAGCACAGCTTGCTCAACAGGGCTGAACAACCCAGGCACAACCCAAGGACCTGTGACAACAGTTTGGTGCTCTCTCCTGGAGCACCTGGCTGTCCCTCAGAGACTCCCTCTGCTTCCAACCACTTTCAAAGTTCTAATTTCGTTTTGGGACAATTTGGGGACACACTGCTCTGTCAGAAAGCTCCAAAATACTCTAGTTGGTCTTAGCAATCCATGAATTATCTCTGTAGCCTCTGCTCAAACACAGATGAGCCAGAATCCCAGGGTGGGGGTGACTTTGGGAACCAGGAAGACAGGCACCCCTGGTGGGTGCTGAGGAGGAGAGCTGGCTAGAACGCCTTAATGCAAAATCTACACAATTTCCTCACAGAAGGTTGGGGGACACCCGGTGCACTAATCCAGCCTCCATCTCCCCAATTTGGGGACTGGCGGCTGCAAAGAACTGGAAGATTAGAACGATTTCACAGCCGCCCGAGTGGAGGAAACTGACAGTATAATTGGAAGGGAGGAGGCGAGAAGTGGCTCTGGCTGCTGAACTGTTCCTACCGCCCCCTCCTCGCTCTCCCGATTCCCCCACCTCTCTTTGTAAAAGTAGGTGTCTGAAGCCACCCTCGGATTTAATCAGAAATCGTGCGTCGCCAAGTCAGAGTCACTCGGTCTCCGTGGCGGGATATGCCATTAGAGCTGGAGAGCTCTCGAGCACCCAACTTTATATTCAAGAGCCTCTTTAGCGACCGGCACTCGGCTCTCCTCAGTATTCTGCGTCATGTTGGGCAAATATTGTTCTAATCCGCCGCGCGTCCTCGGCCGCCTGTTTTACTTGCATTCTCTACAGGAGAGGCTCCCGCAAATCCCCCGGCTGCTGCGCTCTCCCGCCTGCGTGGTTACTCGCGCGCACTTGATCACGGAGCCTCTCTCTTCGCCTCTGTCTAATTCAGGGACCCGACGCCGTCTCTCTGCCCGAGGGGCCCCCCTCCCCAGATCGCAGGCTGCCTGCCCACCCACCCCCTCCCCGCCTTCTCTCCCCTTCCACACGCACAAGGGGCTCATGCATTTGCAAGAAGAGCAACTAAAAAATTAAACGTCGCACACATTTCTAACTCCATCTCTAGGACACCTATCCCCAGAAGCCCGATGATGCCTCAATGACAGGCTGACGGCCTTCCATGAGTTTAAAGAGAGAACAAAAACGCAGCAGAGGGCCGCGGCCGGCCGTGCGCTCCCAGCTCTTTCTCCAGCCGGGAACCGTCCGCTCTCCCTGGGCACTGGAAAGTCAGGAAGAACACGTTACAAAACCACCCCTTTCCCATGGTGTAGACATTGCCCTACTCTCTTGCTGTCTCGAGGTTCTCTCCCAGGAGATTTGTAGAGTTCGGAAGCCCCAGCGAAAAGTTTTGAAGGAGAAAGTATCATTACTATGTATTATTTGTTTGCTAGTTTGTTCCCCCGCCGACAAGCAGGAGTGTTTCAGAGTTGCTTTAGAACAAGCTGATAGTCGTTTTAGCTTATGAAGTATCGCACACTGTTGGTATTTCGAAATAAAAGGGATTGAAGACCATCCCGGGTTGGGGTGGGTGAAAGAACAATTCAATACCAAAGCAACCAAAGCAGAAAGCTGGTTGCCCGGCCATCAGGGAAACTAGCAGTAAAGAAGCGTTAGAAAATAGTGGAAAGAGCTGAAATTTTCAAGGACCTGAAATTTCCTAGCAGCCAAATCTACCAGGATTTCCACCCTGTGGGTAAAGGCAGCTGCCTGTGACCTGTGAAGCAGAGGCCGCGGGTCAGTGAAACCCACGCAGAAATGGACAAGTGTCGGCCCCCAAAACTTCCTGGGTCCCACGCCCAGATTGGACCCCGAAGAGAAGGGAATCCACGGCTCCTGGCGGCTCCACCACCACCCCCTGGAAGGGGATGGCCACTTCTAAAGACCTGGAGCTCCGGGCGCAGGAGTGAGGCGAGGCCAGCCTGGGCGCTCTTACCTTCCAAAGGAAATCCCGTGCGGGGATAGTTCTGCCCCGGAGCCGGCCGCATCATTCTCGGTACCGCGCCGGGAAGGGCCGCCATTCTTGCGCACGCCAGGGACGAATCCAGAGTCGGCAAAAATCGCTTCTCGTCCGCTCCCTTTACCCCTGCTGCGATCTTTCTTTCCTTCTTCTTTTTTTCCCCCCCTTAACCTCTTCCCCCTCCCTCCACGCACACTCCCTAACCCCCCCACCCCACCCCACCCGGCTGCAGTGGTTCCCGTCCAGAAGCTAGGGAGGGGGGTGAGGTGGGGGGCGGAGGCTGGCGGGGAGGGAAGGTGGCGACAAGGAAGTTCAAACAAACAAACACTCCAACCCCAAGTCCGCCTCCGCCGGCCGGGCTCGACTAGAAGTTGTGCGGGATGACGCGCCGAGCAGAACTGGGCGACCAGGCCGGGCTGGGACGCGGCGGGATCCGGGCCCCCAGAGCCGACTGGCTAGCCACTGGCTGTCGCGCTCGGGGCCAAAGTTCCTGAGCTGAGAGGCTAAGGAGTGGATTTCTTTTTGGTCTTTATTTATATATTTATTCTCTCGCTCGCGGTCGGACTCCCTCCTCCTCCCTCCTCTCCACGCCTCTTTCTGCTCTCCACTCCAGCCCTCTCTCACACCCGGCCCCGAGAAGACTTGCGGAGGGACGCGCGCCTGCTCGGGTTTCGGGGCTGGAGGGGAGGCGACAGGGAATCACGGGGTTGGGTAAGAGAAGAGGAAAAGCGAGGGGGCGCGAATGATCAGCTGGGTAAGTTGTGCAAAAGTGCTCAACTGGGGGAGGAGGAGGAGGAGGAGAAGGAGGAGGAGGAGGAGGCGGCAGCCTACGAGATCTGATAGGTTAGGACTCTTCTTTTATTCATGAGAAGGGAAGGGGGCCAGGACGAAAGGGAGAGGAGGACCAATAACGACAAGAAATCACCAACAAATATTTTTTTCCTCTTTTCTAATTCCTGGGTTGACCCCGTTTTGGGGGCAGAATTTGAACTGCCCATGAGAACAGAGGGAGCGGAGGCCCGGGAGCTGGAGCTGGGGCTGGGGGAGGATGGAAAGGGGGGTGGGCAACTTTGTCCAAGTGTCTTCCTTTGATGAATGGACTTATCCGCGGGTCCCCAGCCTGGGCGCCCACGGCTGCTTTCCGCAGTCCTGGCTCATGGAATGCCTGCCTCCTGTTGGGGGCTTCCCGTGGGCCTCCCAGGCTAGAGTCCCTTGTATTTCAGTGTCTTCTCTCTCTCTCTTCTTACTCACACACTCTGAAATTTCCTTGAGTAGGATTCACTAGGAAACAGCCTAGGAAGGGATTATGACTTTCTCTGTGAAATTATGTCAGAGCCCTGTGTCCAGTTCTTGTCTGTCTTCCCTGGGCTCAGGAGCCCAGTGACTGTATCTGGGTCTTGTGCTTGCAAAGTTGGGTCTGCCAAGGGTTAGGGACTTTTCTCTTTCTCTTCTCCCTGCCCCTACCCTTATCCCATCTTCAGCCACCCAGTGTGAGCCTCTTTTTCCTCCTTAGGTTTCTCCATACCACAACCATTCCACAACTGAGACCCCATTCCAGAAAGTAGCTGGGTGTCTGGTGCTGTACAGCAAGGCTGAGGATCTAGGGGTCCAGAGAGGTGGGAGAAAGCAGTCAGAACTTGCTACTGACTCTGAATGAACTCCTCCACTGGTGGGTTGTGGGGCGTCCCCAATTAGATGGTCAGGAGGGGGTGACGATCAGCGGTGCCACAATTCTGCAGTCTCCTAGACCAGACCAACCAGTGAATCCAGCCTCAGGACCGGGATTCCTGGGGGTGAAACGCCCTCCCAGCAGGGCAGGACACCACAACTGCAGGCCTTTTGTCTCCCCCAGGAAAGAGCATCTCTGGCACAGTGCTGGAGGCAAAATACAATAAAATAAACTCAGCTTCAAACTCACCCCCTGCCCACCCTTTTCTGGCAGAGGGGTCAGAGCTGCCTTGGCCTGTGGGGGCTCTCTGCAGGCTAGCCCAACCGTCTCCCCTCCTCTCTGCTTCTCCTCACCTGTGACCTTTGCCCCTTTTAGTATGTGACAGACCCTCTCTCCTACCACCTGGGGCTCATCAGACTTTTGGGGGACTTTCTGGGAATGAGAGTCCTGCTAAAGGTTTGTTAAACTCAAGCTCCCAGAATTGAATGGGGACAGGCCAAGTCTTTTAGTATTAGAAAGGGGGATATCAGGTGCCTTGTCTGTCAGGCTGCCTGAGAGATGCCCTCCTCACAAAAGAGATGGGCCAGGGAAGATGGGAACTTGCTGGGGCCTAGCTTGCCTTGACCTCCAGAGGTAGACATGTTTATATGTGTGTGTGTGTGTGTGTGCATCTGTATGCAGATACAATACACATATATGATACATATTGTATATTCATCCTTCCATCCTCCTATCCCCACCCCTGGTGTGGCAGGTTTTTAGATCCTTCTCCTCTGTATTGTGGATGAGTATGCCTTCTGCTGGGGTCTGTGGACATCTAGGAGAAAGTGTCTGTGTGTATGTTCTAGCATATCCATGCTGCCTTAGTGTGGCTCTAAGGGAGGTCAGGAAGGTGTGCTTTGGTCAGCACCTCCAGCAAAAGAGGACCTTTGCAGAGCAGGGCTGGAAGGCTCTGGGTCTCTGCAGTAGTGCCCAACCCCCCCCACCCCCCAAACTCTCCTGGGTAGAGCAAGCACACAGACGGTCACTGTGGTGTAGGGGGAATAGGGCCGGAACCTCTGGGACCCTGGTAATGCTCCTGCTGGGGCCATGCACCCTAAGGGGTGATCCCCTATCCTCTACCGTCGGGGGTCACCTGCAGGCTCCCGCAGTCTCACCCTGGCTGCGTCAAGCCAGCATTTCAGCAGCTGGGGATTCCATGGTCCCGGCAGGGCAGGCGCAGGGGGAGGAAGCGGGGTTGTCTGTTGGAATGAGCGTGGCCGTGCTCGCCTGTTGGAGACCAATTTCACAAATGATTTTTGCAACAATTAAGAAGTGTGGCGGGGTGAAATGGCGATTTCACATCCAGCAGGGGAAAGGGGGGTTCACCTGGGGATCCGGGCGGCTGCAGCTGGGGTGGGGGAGAAGCTCTCCCCCTTGGCTCATCCCCCCCTTACTAGCCCCCTTGCCCAAAATCACTCCCCTACAGTCATCAATCAACTCCCAAGACCAAATTTCACCTCTGTGAAGCTCTGAGGGGCTCCTGCCCCAAGTGTGTGCGTGGGACTGGACTTGCTTGGTCAGATTTTCCTTTAGCTTCCATCCTGCCTCTCGGCCTCTTCCTCCTCTTTCTTCCTCCCTCCCTCTCTGTCTACTGGTCTCACTCCCACACACTCTTCTGTCTTGCCTCTCTTTGCTCCCCACAACCTGACTTAGGTCTCCTCTGGGTTTCTTTTTATTTGGTGTGTGTAGGGTTCCTCTTTCTTTCCTCCCTTGCCTTTTTGACTTCCCAGCAGGTTTTCTCTCTACTCTGTGATGCATCCACCCTCCTCCCTCATTTCCATGGTTTCCTGAGGTATGTGCGGCCTCCACTGCTCTCTGGGCTGGAACTCGGACCTGAATCCTTGGGACAATCCTTTAGTCCAAATGGGATTGGGGGAAGCACTTGGGGAAGGGGTCCTCTTTGCCCTCTCCTCCTCTGCCTCCTTCTCTTCCCTGCCTCCCCCAACCCCTCATCCTCCTTTCCCCTTTCTCCTCCTCTGGGTCTAACCTCCAGACCCCACCTAGTCCCCCCACCCCTCACTCCCTTTTTGGTGCTCTCTGGCTTGGACAGTTATTGCTTACACCCACTTCTTCCTGCCTAGTCTAAAATCTCTGTACACAAACCTTCTCTCTCTCAACTTGAACCACTCCACCAGTGGCCCCCCACCTCCTTTTTTTTAAGGGCAACAACAATGCTAATAGAAATTCTTCCCCCCAATTTCCAAATTGAGCCCTCCAAAATCCAAAGGAAGAGAAAGAAACCGATCCAAGGTAGAGCAGCAAGAGCTCAGGTTGAGAGCAGCTGAGGGGAGGTGGCATCTGGCCCACACAGAGTGATGGGAGGGAGACATGCAGCCAAACTGGGGCTCCCTTCTCCTTGTCCCCAAGTGCCTTGGCCTCTCCCCCTTGCCCAAGAGGACACTCTTTATTTCAGACCCTCAGCACTGAGCTCTTTTGCAAAGGGTTATTCATAAGTCTTAGAGGGTAATAAAGCTACCTTGATACCAGGGGACTTGATTTCAGCCTTAGCATTTTCTGAGGCTCCAGCAGACTCTGCACTGCTGGGAGGGGCTGGAGACACTAGCAAAATGGATGCTTCACATGTTTGATAATGAGAGAGGCAGGTGGCTGTGGGTTGGGGATAGGAATGGAGTATCCGCAAACAAAGGACCACCTTTCGAGGCTCCTCTGTGGAACTCCTGGTGCTGTATTTGAAGAGGCTCCTTTGGAAAAAGACCACCTTTGCCTGTTCCCCAGATCTTTACCATTATTTTATTTTTCTTTTAGGAAGTAGTGCTCTTCTAAGAGTGACCCCAAGCACCTGCCTAAACCTGAATAGAATCAAGAAAGTGAATTGTTTGCTTACTTGACATTTTTATTTTCCCCAGGAAAAACTGAAATGATTTGCATCAGATTCCAGTGTTCAAGGTACAGAACAACAACAATAACCAGACTTCTCCCAGCCTACTGCTGAGTAGGATCTCAGGGCTCCTCCTGTCCTTTTTCCTGGTCCTCCTTCTTTGCCTCCCCTCCTTTCTTTTCCTCTCCCCCCACTTCTTCCTCTTCTACTTCCTCCTCTTCTCTCTCCTTCTCTCTTCTCTTGCCCTCTTTCTACTTCCTTCTCCCTCCTCTTTTTTTGTTTTCTCCTTCCCCTCTTCTCCTCTTCTCTCCATCTTCTTCTCTTTCTTCCCCTCTGTTTCTTCATCTTCCTTCTTCTCAGTCTTGTCCTGGGAGCTTTTACCTTTTGAGGTTCTGGAAATAAAGAGGATGAAGCTTGAGGAGGGCAGGAGGTGATGGTTCAATGTCTCACCTTGACATTGATTCTCCTGGTCCCTTCTTCCTTCTCATATCTGACTTTTCCTCTCCCCATAACTCCTTTCCACTGGCTGTCAGAGATTTGGTCAAGGCTGTCTTTAAGGATATCCTCAATATCTTCCCTGCCCTCTGCCTGTACCTAGTAATCTCTCCTTCCTCCCCACTTCTGGAGTGGGAAAAGGGCCTTCCTGGGACTAGGAGGAGCTCCCATCTGATCCCAGTGACCTAAAGGGGATGGAGTGGGACAGAGGAGGTAACTGTGTGGATGAGAACTGTCATGTTCACAAGTGTGAGGCTGAGGGTATGTGTGTGAGTGAGAGCCTATGAGTGTGCCTTGCACGCACACGTGTGCCCATATGCACGTGTGTGTGCAGATAGGAAGTGGCATGTGTGCACTGGGAATTTCTTTCTTGGCACCTTTTGAAAGCCTAGGGAGAGTGGCCTCCTCCCAGGCTCCCAGCAGCCTGAACAAAGGACCAAGTGTCAGAAAGAACGCACACTGCTCTCAGGCCCCTTAGATCACTTCTCCAAGTTCAACTTGCACTGAGTCCAGCGTTAATGGGTTTAGACTTTGCCCTTGGACAATTACCTT